AATCTCCATTTTAGTTTCATACGAAGATGAAAAATGATCCAAAGTATTCATAAATGTACAATCAGGCATTTTTGACAAACATAGAAGGAATTACCGATGAGGAATACCCAAGATGAAGCTCTCAACGCCTAGGTCACTGGAAGCATCAATAATAAGTTTCATTGCTGGAATCAAAACTTCACAGCCTTCAATTCCGAACCTTTTTTCAGAACTCCACTTCTTGGCTAGAAAATCTTCGAAGCGTGTAGAGCGTACAAGTCGAGCCATTAAAAGACGCCTTTCATCATTAGAAAACTTTAATGACCCAGGAGTTTCAAACTTGTTTCGAATCCAATCGCATTTTCTCAGAGTATTAATGAACATATATTCAATGCCGATGCTTTTACAATAAACTTCCTATAGATGTAAGAAACAGTGTTAGAATAACTTTAAGGCAGAAAGGTCAGGAAAATAAAACTAAAGATACCTCAAGTCGAGCGATTATTTCCCGAAGAGTCAATTCTTGTTTATCTCCTCCTATATACGTAGTGGGAGGAAGACGAAAAGTCTTATCCATATCCAATTCACCTGTAAAAAAAATGTTAGCATTGTAAATGAAGATAGCAAACCAGCTATATCAAAGTGCGAGCTAGCAGGCTATTTACAACAGCCTAAATCTCTCAAACAAACATCAGCTTGAAGTAATTGAAATATAAAAATCAAACAAGAGTATGATTCTCATGCTGTAACAAGATTTATCTTCAATAATTTTAGCTATCGCTAAAAATCAATCAGCCAGATTATAACATAGCAGTTAATTGCATTAAGCTGGATTTGCGCTCATAAAAATGGAACAAAAATTGATGGCATCCGAAAATTGCAAATCAAATAAAAGTTTGAAATGAAACCAAATAGTAACGTATATTGACACATAATAACATTTATCTACTAATTTATTGACCAAACTGGCGAGGCGCATAACATCAAAAATATTAACGCAAAACAACATCGATGGCTTTTCGAATGTTTTGGCCTATTTCTTACCCACATTAGGCAAGTAACGTCCATAAACGATGTCTCTTATCAATTCACGGGGTTGATTAGTGATGTCTAAAGGATCAAGTCGAGCCACGCGGTGACCGCGAATCTTTTACAATAAAAAATTGGCACAATATGAAAGAATAAGTAAAACACGAAAAAAAGGTTGTCTAGTGAAGCAATCCTAAATACTTTCGGCTTATGCCAAAATTTATTAAATTAGCCTAAGCTAAGTCCAACGTAGAGCTTCTGAGTCGGTAAGCACACGGAGCACCAGATTCATGCGACACCAAACAGGACATACCAAGATTGTAAAACCCATGCGTCAGTTCAGGAGGGATTGAGCCATCAAGGCTAGCAGAAAGGATTCCAAGAGGATCGAGGACAGCAACCCTGTGGCCTAAAGACTAGACAATTATAAGTATAATGTGTAGTGAGGGAATTCAACATCGAGTTAAAAAATACACGTGTAATGGATACCTGGTAGGAACGGATGATAGCCTGCACAGCAAGATGATCTTCAATTATCTTTGTGTCATGTTCTACAGGTTTTTGTAATGTAAATGGAGCATAGGCCTGAGGAGCAAAACCACGAGCTTCAGACTCAGGAGTCGAAGAAATGCTTCGAAAATATATATCCCACGACTTAAAGAATATAAACTAAGCTAAAATACCTTGTGTACACTACTATTATTCTCTTTCCAAGCGTTGTAAATATCCTCAACATAATTGCAAGATGCGCCATTGAGGAATGATTCGCTGGCTACCACATGTTTTAGACGAGAGATTGGACCGAACATATATTTATTGAGACGAAAACCATTTGGCAGAATAGAGAGACGTCTAAGCGGGAACATCGAGATAGCTCCAAAGAGGTGAGCGATGCAAAAGGAGGATTCAAGGCAGGCAACAAGAGGCGGGAAACTCTCAAGGCCAAATAAAACCCTTTGAGGTAACTTAAAAAATTTATTAATTTTTTATAAGGATAAATTTTTACTTATCTTGTTAAGTTTAAAACTAAATTAAAGCTAAATAACAAGATGTTAACAATCTTCAAGAACCTTAGAATAACATAAGGTCAAACAGACATTGCCACAAAAGAATAAGTAATTACTCACGGCCATACATTATTTGAGAATGGTTTAAAGACTTTCACTGAAAAAATTTAACAAATCCATGGTTGTTATTTGGCCCTGATTATGGGATTACATTTGTTGGCTAGTTGCCTGGCTTGAGCATTATTGCATTCCATTCTCTTGGTTGAAATGGCCCATTTGCTCAAGTGACGCTAT